GAACATATAGTCTACATTCTAAAAGGATTTAAATGAACCCAACTCCCTCAACATTTACTTCGTGTTTGCTAATTCAATTCAAACTCAGATTAACTGGAAATTACACAACATGCTCAATACAATACTAAACGGAGCCCAACCCCATTGCAAACCAACACATCAACAACATCTGTGAGATACAATCCGTATTGATGCACAGACGGTCTTATTTCATTATTTTTTATTTGATTATTTGTTTAAACGCATGCCTTTGGCAGGCTGTTTCTGCACCAGTTGGCCCATGGGCGGATAGTGAAGTTAAGAGGTGCAAACCTTAGTCAGGAGTGGTGCGGTACTGTGTCGCCCCACGTTCTGCCAACAACCCGACAGTGGTGCCATCACTGACTCAGTCACTGACCCAGAGCCCCCACCTGCATGAGCAACGCTTTGAGCTGTAGGACCCAGCGATGCCCATCTCAAGCTGCCCACTAGAGCAGAAGGCCCTTTGACTCACGCCCATCTGGCCTGCTAGCACGTTACAGTACGCCAAGGTCTGTGAGCACACTGCTAAATTCCCTACCCTTCCCAAGAGGGGACAGTTAACAAATCGGGAGTCCTAAAAGTTTGGTGACAAGCAACTTTTTTTTTTCTTGACAAGACGGCATGTGGTTAAGATGGCGATGACAAGTCAACATTCCGCCTCCAGGTTTTCCCACATACATACACAAATACACAAACACAAAAGTTCAATGTTGCACCCTGTGTAGGAGTTAAAAAGGATGCACGTTGTGGTCTTCATTAGTTATTTCCATCTAAACATGTCACGAAGCACATGATTTCCGATGATGCTGCTATACAAGATGATTTTCGTTACATGGTAAGTGCAAAAAATATTGAATGAGATTTAGGTTTAAAAAAAAAAAAAAACACACGCAACAATTTAAATAAATAAAAATGTGTTCATAAAACTCAAATTATGGGGGAAACAAATCAATGATTGTAGCACCATTTAATTAAACATATAAACATGTGCTACATGTTTTCCTCCTAAAATAAAATAAAAAATACTAAAATTTCACCAATAAGAAAACAGCAGTTAAGAAAGCATATCATAATAGCAGATTGGATGTTTGCAGTTTGGCTCTAAAAACTCTCAAAAACTCTACAATTTGGCTCTCCTGTAAACTCACGTCAAACTTTGTATTTTTCATTGATTTAAGGTCAGTGCACAGCAAGTCAACGGCAAACAACTAGCACCGACGACATCTAACTGTGTGGCTGCCTTGCAGTGATTTACTTCTGGTCCAATCTGGACCAAAATGCTGCCCATGAACTCACCAAAAAGATAAAAGCCGACTGAAACAAATGTTCTGCGCCTACATGGGCAGTTTTGCAAATGGCAGTATCTGTTTTCTTATTTACAACTGAATACTAAAAGTGTAAACAAAACAGCATTTAGCACCATATAAATATAAATATGTCTGATAATCTATTAAAGCATACGGTTTGTAAATATTTGAAAAATTTGAATTTACAGCCAGCCTCTTAAATTGTTCACTTGCTACCTCACTTCATTACGTCACACTTACGCTCGGATTTGTTGCTGAATAACCAGTCAGAACGCTCTCTTCAGACAACCCAATGCTGAATAGGGCCAATAAGCTCCGATGTTAACCCGACCAGAGCAAGTAGCTTTAAAAATCTACATTTTAAAAACAATGTCAGTGTTGCTCAATTTCAATTTATTTCATTTTTAATAATAAAGAAAAGTTCTGGCAACTGACTTCATCAAACTGGACAGAGGAAATGAACTGGACAAGAAGTCAAAGAAGCTGAATGCCCAGAGCCACACTTACCTGCATCATCACCACAGACCAACAGATGTAACAAGTTCACTGTGGCATGCTGTTTCCCAAAACAAACTAGCCTGATTTTGTCATATTAATTTGTGTTGAAATGCCTAACAAACATTAACATTAAACAAGTGTATTTTCCTTACTCAAAAGCATAATATAAACAAATATTATTTAAGTAAACCTCTGGTTTTAAACAACGCTGTCCCAAACCAATCTCAAGGGTTAATATCAGTAGCTGATTAAATTGTATCTTTATATTTAAAATTTTTTATCTGCATTGGCTATGCCATTTATTTCACATGTGAGGTATCATGCAACAGGTATGAAAAAGGCACTTTCAATTAGGTTTCTAACTCAATTGTCTGTGCAATGCGAGAGAAGCAATGAAGTTTGTTCAAGCATTTAACATGGACATTCAAGCTCTTAATGTTTTCTAATATTTTAATGACTAATATTTTAATGACTTTTTTTCCTCAGTTTATGAATTTGGTGTTATTAGAGGCAAAATGCAGACATGACTGTATTCCTATAATTAACTTCATATGTTAGAAAAACTTTCATGTTGTTATTCAATGTTATGCTTTTAAAATTAGCTATTTAAATGTATTTGAACAGTTCAACTTAAAGTCCTAGTTTATTAGCATTTTGTTTGGGTTATTGGGGACAGGTGAGACTCGAAACCCTTTCCTAAACCCAAAGTGTGGAACGTCAGAAGTTCGAGAAACACTAACTTGAAGGAACAACTTTGTGCAGGTACATACCGTCTATGCTCACTAAATCACATTTTCACTTAAGATTTAATACATAGAACTTTTGTAAAAGTTGCAATTTTGTCATCATTTACTCGCAATCCACTTTCTTCTGTTAAACAAAAAATAGATATTTTGAAGAATGCTGAATCCCTGTAGCTTACCCTAAATGATAGGGTTGTGCAATTAATTAAAACTCAATTTAAATTTCAGCCACCAGCATTTATGAAGAAACAACATATCTCACCCACTTACTAGCAGTCTGAATTCAGTTGAATGCAGATTTCTGCAGCATGTATACAATCTTTAAATAAATATTTTTGGTCATAAAGCCCACTAATAATTGTTTTATATAACCACGATTATAATACTGACCAAAAAAAAAAAGGTTTTTCTTTTCTTACGATAAATGTCACTGACTATTCAGCATTCTTAAAATGATCTACTTTTTGTCTTCAACATAAAAAAGAAACTCAAAGACAGTGAGTAAATGTTCCTTTTTGAAATTTAACACTTTAATAAATACCTCCTTTTCCACAGGCATAGATTGTATACAAGTCAAAAGGCATAAATGTTGCCTGATAAACATCAAACTATCACTGCAATAGCCAGGTCTTTTAAATTAAGAGATTCCTGATGAAGGACTAACTGACCTGTCCAGGTTTGATGTTCAGAAACTGCAGCACTTCCTTCACCATGACCGGTGTGTGAAAGGGCTTCTCCTCTTGGACTGGCATCTCACAATCGGGGCTTGAAGGGACTGATCCAGTATAGAGTCTCCCTGGATGCCACGACTTTCTCCAGCACCTCCTGAACATTCTGGGGTTTCGGAGAGTAGCCACGTGTTTCCAAACTCCCAAAGTCTGTCTGCAGGGTGCAGCCATGAAGCAGCTATAATATTGGGGCATATAGATCCTGCACAGAGGACACATATTTCATCAGAATAATATTAAAAGGACAAGAAATGCAGGGGATTACATGTTGTCAAACATGCCATCTGGTATAACTCATTTGTATTAGTCATTAAATGTTTAATTAAAGACTGAGATATTTAAAACTCACAATACAAATTGTTTAAGCATGTAAACATGTTGTTAATATGCAAACGTTAGAAATGAATCTTCTTATTTAATCTAAATTACCCATCATTTTCTAATTTGCAAATGTCTCTGCATCTATAATTGAGAAATCCCCGCTAGATAGACGGACACGTGCCAGAGCAGGGTTTTTCTGGCATCAGTGGCATGTGTTCGGGATCATATATTTTCGGATTCTAAAAGGAAGTGCGTGTGTTTGCTGTCATATATTTTAACACGTGATGTAGTTAAGGGCATACGACTCCGCACACCATTGAGTAAATCATGTTCAAATGTCATTTCGGAAGCACATAGTTTACTGTGCAAACAGATAACAATACAGCAAGTTGTGATTTTGATTAAAGGTAACGTACGGTAAGTATTAAACAGCGTTGCTTCTTTAGCGATGTGTGTGTACTGTAGTAGGTTCACGAGTGCAGCTCTGACAGCTCCCGGAAGAAACAGGAGAGACAAATATTTGTTCCTCCTGTAACAGAAATGATACAGTCAGATAATTCGTTATCTGTTTATTGGAAACACGTGTAGCGATATTGACAAATGAAGAAATGTATGCACAGATGTGTTTATCCTGTCCACAACTGCCAAACTAAGAATATTTGTTTCGTATTTTGATGAGTAATATCCAAATAAAAAGTCTAGTTTAGTTTTTTTAACGTTTGTTATAACGTTATAACACGTTACAAATTTACTGTTTCATAAAGTAAACCAATAAGTGAATTTTTCTGTGATTTTCCACGTGAGATTTGTGTCGTATTGAAACGTTTCGAGATCATGAGAATATGCAAATAAATATATGTAAACATTTCATACTACATAATGTTAATATTATATTACTAAATATTATATAAATAAAAATAAGTTGTATCTGTAAACGTCTTATATACATTTTAACAGGCGCTTAAAAACATTCTCGGAGGAAACAATTAGAGAAAATTTTAGACACCTAACGTTAACTTTACATCAAGAAAAAAAAACTTGTTAAAATGAAAATTAATGTTCATTTTGGTCACAATAATTACATGTCAGCCGCATCACTAAAAACTGCTGGTCTAATTGCGCTAATAACAATAAAGTAACTTAAACCTGGAATATCGTATGGCGTAGAAATCATAATGTTCAATATAAGAAACATTTCTTGCTTTATTCCACCCCATGTATCCACCGTAAATTAAATTCTTCATCATCCTTGATTCTATGGATTCAGTCCATTCAGTCGCAGCATCATACGTCATCTGACGTAAGAATGCCCTCATCCAATCAGACGCACGAACGGAACTTCAGCTTGCGTTTGAAATCTTCGCGCTTAGGGGTTTGGAATTGCTACTATCAGCGCGAATGTCGGCATTTAAACTCACATTTCTCATAATAACATAGTGAAATTATCTTTGAGGCATCATATTGTATCAGATGGTAGGTTGTACGCGTTTTATCGCGTTAGCTCAGTCTTTGTGAATGAAATGAAAGAGGTAAACAGTTAGCGGTAGCTTTTAGCGCAGCGCTAACAGATGCTATTGACAAATGCTAATAAGAGGTTTAAAGTAAAATTCGGTCGAACTTTGTGCATAAATGTATCTGCTGGTAACTTATAGTCGATTGTCATGTTTTCCTTAAGTTACTGCGCACATGTTTGCAGTATAAGCTTCTGGATCAAAACATTATGTGTGTAAAGAATGGTCTTTTATTATTAAGCCCCAATGTGCTCTTATTTTTTATACATCTTTATAAACAATAATAACAAGCCATAACAAAGCAAACAGATTTGGGTTGCCAGAATTTATACTCCTTACACACAAAATAACATGTCAATTAATGTTGTATAAGTTAACATGTTGTTTCTATTTACATAAAAAGTAATAACTAAATTGTTTGAGATATGCACTTTACATCTGTTCATTTAAAATGCTTTCAAATACATTATAATCAGTTACACTAAGATTCTGTTATTGTTTTTTTTTAACAGATCCAAAACAACAAGAAAGGAGCAGAGATCTTCAGTGATTAGTTGTAAACAGGACAATGTCCAATGGAGAGGTCTGCAGCCACGTTAAAGTGGTGGTCCGTGTCCGTCCCTTAAATGACAAAGAAAAGGATGGAAATTTCAAGAAAGTTGTCCACGTTGTTGACAACCACATGCTTGTCTTTGATCCTAAAGAGGAAGAAGTGACATTTTTCCGGGGACAACGTGTAGGCAACAGGGATGTGCGGAAGAGAGCAAATAAGGACCTCAAGTTTGTGTTTGACAGCGTGTTTGGTGAAGAATCTTCACAGATTGAAGTTTTTGAAAACACCACTAAAGCAATTGTTGATGGTGTCCTGAATGGCTACAACTGCACTGGTGAGAAATTTGATTACTTTCCATTCTTAAAGTAACGTTTTGTGCTGTGTAGTGCAATTATCTTGCAGTGTTAAGCATGCAGTATTTGAAGTAGAACGTAAAGCAATATTTCACATTTTGTTAGTGATGCAAGAGCAAGGTCTTGTAATTTGTCCCATTTCCCCCCTATTCTGCCATGCTAAAGGGATTTTTTACAATTAATGTAGTAAGGCATTTTCAAGGATTATCTCGGTTTGGAAAAGTCAAGGTCTTAAAAACCGCCAAATGTTCTGCTATACTGTTCCTGCAGTATATGTAAGATTTTTTTATTTTATTTTTTTACATTTTTTTTTCTCTCTCTTTTTTTTTTTTTTTAGGACAACAGTTGCTCCAGCAGTAAATAATCCAAAAATGTTATTTTAAATTGCGAAGAAATCTGTGTTTTTAAAACTAATGAAGACAGCAGAAGCCAATGATTTATTTGAATTATTAAGCCTGATATGTTTACTGCTCTAAAATATAAAAGTTTCTCAAAATAAAATATATTTTGTTTAAAGGGGGAAATGTTTTTACCCAGACATTTAAAAATAATATTTTAGAGCAGTAATCACAATACCGTGAAACCGTGATATTTTTATCCAAGGTTATCATACTGTCAGAATCTTATACCCGCCCATGCTTAAATGTAGTATGAGTAGTAATCTGGTAATTTATTGGTACATTTAACACTATTTGGTATTTTTCTGTTAGTTGGCTTTAATATAGCTGATTATGTTCATTCATTAAATTGTCATTTTATTTTGCTCAGTGTTTGCTTATGGAGCTACAGGAGCTGGGAAAACACACACCATGTTGGGCACCAGTAATTCCCCCGGAGTAATGTTTCTCACTATGAAAGAACTGTTTGCACGCATGGACCTCATCAAGGAAGATAAAGTGTTCAATGTAGCCTTTTCTTATCTTGAGGTGAGGTTTTTATTTATTCAGATTTATTGCAGTTTTTACTTATAAGTGTCATTCACTAAAGTACATTTGGGGTTGGAAAGCTTTTTGGAAAACATTTCTTGTCAAAATTGGGGTTTCATTTATTTGAGCAAAATTTAGGGAAACAAAAATGTTAGGAAATGGCATTACAATTGAAATAAAAAAAAGCAGAGCTGATCTATAAGCAGCAAGTCATTAAATCTTTAATCACATGAGCTATCATATATTGATTTGTTGCTCCAGCAACATTTCATATTATTGTCAATGTTAATATAGTATTTTTGCAGAAAACAATATTTTTATGAATAGAAAGCATTTATATTCATAAGAACAGCATTTATTTGAAACAATGTAATATATATATATATATAAAAACATTGCTTTCACTTTTGATTAATTTAATGCATTCTTGCTGAATTAAATATTTGTTTTTCAAATATATATATATATTTATATATATATATATATATATATAGAGAGAGAGAGAGAGAGAGAGAAAGATTTATTTTTTGGCCATTATTTTGGAATGGTAATGTACATATATTGTAATTGTACACTTAATGTATTTAATTGCTGTGATCAAATTATGTAATATCAGTTTACACTTTTATTGACGCATAGCATCACTGATGCAGAATCGCACATAAGCCAAAGATTTCAGTAATAATGGTATTTTATAAAAGTACCATTTTAATGAGGGAAAAAAAGTACTGAGAGCAGCTTACAAAAAGTGCTATTTCTGTGATAGTTCTCAATTCATTGTTCCTGGAACAGTATGAATGAATAAGTCTGTGCTTCTGTGTCTCTGCACTTTCTCCTGCACAGGTTTATAATGAGCAGATTCGTGATTTGTTAACTAACTCTGGTCCATTAGCAGTAAGAGAGGACGGCTCCAATGGAGTTGTGGTTCAAGGACTCACCCTGCACCAGGTGAAAATTGCCTCCATGTGTCATATGTGCACTTTCTGTGAGCTTGAATCATGTCACCATAGACTGACAATGTGTGTGTTTGTCATCTTTGTAGCCCAAATCTGCCGAGCACATCCTTGAAGCCCTTGATTATGGCAACAGAAACAGGACGCAGCACCCCACTGATATGAACGCCACATCTTCACGCTCTCATGCCGTATTCCAGGTAAATGGTCCAGGTCTCTTTTCTCTGTAAATATCACATCCAGTTCTGTGTAATTGTTTGCATCCTCTTGTTTTGATACTGAGTCTGAACTATCAGTTGACTTGTGTGAGTGAACAGTTTGCTTTTTTGTTATTTGTGCATTTCCTGGAAGTCTTGAGCAGGCAATGGGCTTTATGCACTGAAGTGTTTTTCAGCCACAGATGAATTTCCAGTAAAAGGTTGATGTGACTATTTTGAGTTTCATAAGGTTCCTTTTATAGCACCATTATGTAATTTAATTAAAATAAGGGCTGCACAATATATTGTTTTAGCAGAAATGTTCTGCAAGTAACACAGACCACAACGAAAATGTGTTGGACATTTATAGATTGTTTGTTTATTAGATTTTATGGAGGAGCATTCAAACTGCAGAATCATCTCAGTTGATCTGAAGCCTGATCTGAATTAAATATTTTTTGCAAAGAGATATTGAGTCATCTTGTGAAATTTTATTCATATCTCAATATATATCACAAAATAAAAAAAATATTGCAATGCTAGATTTTTATAGTATCGTGCAGCCAAAAACAAAATATAGTCTGTTAAATAGACTTAAGCATTCTTTTAGTTGTTCAAGCATAAAATGAGATAAAAGTCCTTTTATATGCAAGTACCATGAAGATAAAGTATTCTGTGATGAAAATTATTATAGGTTAAAATTTTCAAGGCATGAAGTGGAAAAAGCACATTTAATGCAATGCATCTTGTCCGATTTGAGACCCACTTTATATTGTTCAGAGAGAGAAGATCACTGATTTTAATCAAACCAGATCTTAAAACTGGCGAATTATTATAATTATAATGGCCTAATGGTTCACCAGAAACTAATTCAAAATGAAAATTCCCCATGCATAATATGCTCTTATGCATGGGGACTTTTCATTCGGAGTAAACTTCAGGTGAACCGTCCTGCCATTATAAACTAGAACTGGGCGATTAATCTGAAAGTAATCGAAATTGTCATTCATAACATAAAATCGATCTAATTTTTCCTAGCCGATTTTTATTTATTTATTTTTGTTTAATTTTTTTGTAATTTAATCTATTGCAGTTGTTCAACATTGATGTTAAATAAATAATCATAGAGAGTAGATAGTGTGTTTTTCCTTCATTTATTTTAAAATCAAGTAATGCACCCTTTATTCTAAAATCTCTCACTGGTAATATGAGAACATATTTACTGTATACAACTGGTCAGTGACTATAAGGGCAAAAATAACTAACTAAATAAATAAAATAATCGTTTATTAATTGTAATCGAGTTAAAATGTTCAATTAATCAAAATTTTGATTGTAGGCCAAATCGCTCCACACCATTATAAACTCAACACATTTAAGATCTGGTTTATAACCATAATAGCCCATTGTAAATAAAGTTATTTTGCTTGTGATTATTTTATACCTAGACTTTAGAATATACCTAGACTCTTCATACCTAGGGCTCTTATCATACACCCGGCGCAGTGTGGCGCAAGGCGCGGAGCAGTAGTCTTTTGGTAGTTTCAGCTTGGCGCAAGAGTCGTTTTGAAGCGTTGCGCTACGCTGTTTAAATAGCAAATGCATTTGCGCTCAGATGTGCGCCCATAGGCGTTCTGGTCTAAAAAGGGAGGCGTTCTGAGGCGCACTGCTGGCGCGTTGCTATTTTGAGAAACTATAATAGATTTTTCATTAGACCAAAACAAACCCGGTCTAAACTCCGTCGCTTACGAACTGCTTAATACGCACAAGAGAGCAATAGGCAAATATCTTTACATATGAAAAAATTTAAATATTAAGGATATATATATATATATATATATATATATATATCCTTAATATTTAAAATATTTAAAAATATATATATATAGGATATAATAAGAATAGATATAGGATATAAATATAAAGGATTAAAATATTACAAACATATTATTTTCTAGCCTACATAAATATGAAAAATCACTGCTTTTATGTCTTCTTCATCTTGAGAGGCTTTTTCAGTTCATTCATAACAATTTGCTTTTGTATAATGTTATTATTATTAGCAGTATTATTTAATATATCCATATTTATATTTGTTTTATTAAAAACAAGCTTAGATTTGCCCACCTGTCAGGTTTTAGACCATATGGGGCACAGCATGTGTTTTAGGATATAACTCAGGTTTTTGAGCACATTTTGTTATTATTGTTCATTTATTTGTTTGCTGAAAATTAGAACTGAATTTAGAAATAGTTTTATTTTAACTTAAGAAAATAAACTCAACCCTTTTAGACCATGCGCCACAGCGCAAAGCAGATTTTCCTGTCCTCAAATTAGCAAAAATGCGTTCTGACCCGCCCTGAAAGCATTTGCGCTCTGCGCATGGACCGTCAAAATAGAGCCCCTAGACTCTAAAATATTAAAATTTATTAAGTATACATTTGATCAAATGTTATAAACTAGAAATATTTTTATTAAATATTTTAAAGAAAAAAAATGTTTTTTTTTTTTTCTTTTTTTTTCAGAATTATTTTTACTTCTTTTCTTACTGAACACCAATGAAAATATTGGAACCCAGTAACCACTGACACCCACAGTAGTGTAAAATACATAAAATGGAGGGAAATGGCTTCTGGTTTTAAACATTCTTCAAAATATCTTCCTATGTGTTAACAGAAGAAAGAAATCTTTTTTTGGAACAAGTGGAGGATGACAGGATTTATCCTTTTGAGAGATCGATCTCTTTAACTGAGCAGTTCAAACCAGTGTCAGCTGGCTTACAAAGTAGTCAGGACGAAATATTAATATTCAATCTGACTGAAATGTTCTTACTCCATCTTTGTTTTCTTTCTTTAGATCTACTTAAGGCAACAGGATAAGACAGCCAGTCTTAATCCAAATGTTCGGGTGGCCAAGATGAGCTTAATCGACCTGGCCGGATCAGAAAGGGCCAGTGCGACCAACACCAAGGGGGCTCGTCTCAGAGAAGGGGCCAACATCAACCGCTCGCTCCTTGCTCTGGGGAATGTCATCAACACGCTCGCCAACCCCAAAGTAGGTCTACACCTTCTGTTAAGTTTAAGGGATTACCCAGATCTTGTTGAAAAGAAATGTTTTATAATTTCACACGTAAACGAGTTGCTAGTATTATTTGCAGTTTGCTTTAAAAGTGTTATTTGCTCAAGCTCTTTAGATTTAAGTGGAATGATCCGATTGGTCGTGAATTTTTTTTATTGTTCATTAGCTGGGAATAAATGTCTTTGCATGGTGTTTAAGTGTTGTTTGGTTTGTTTTTTTGCAAAGTGAGACATACTTGCACATTGTTAAAACAACAATTATCATATGAGCGACAAATGTAATGGAGTGATGAATCATCTTACAATAAGTATTCTATTAGGCTATAGCCCAAACACAACTCTATTGTCCCCATGTGTCATTATCTTAGTTTTCCTAATCTAATATAAAAATTGAGCCTCTGTATATTCACCTTATTGTCAGCTGACGAGCGGGCGCTGCCATTTGAATCTTTTTGTCTCGCGATTTCCGGTCACATTCACTTCCATTCATTTTTTGACGTTAACAACTGCTCGTTACGCTGCTTGATGTTGCAATTTAATATTTTCTTATTATATTATGCTACTTGGTCTGTGTAGTCATGCAAACATTTGTTTGTTGAGGAAGTAGTTTGGCCATTTTCTGCCGTTTATTATTCCTAGTCATTTCTACCATAGGCGACTGAATCGGAAGTTCTAAGACAATCGCGAAAACAGGCGCACTTCCGCATTTTAGAATAAGGTCAATATAAATAAATTCATAGGAAAGTTATTTTGATCCTGCTTCAATTGCTAAAATTGAAAAAAAGCACACATTATTGGAAATATAAAACATTGTAATGATTAACATTGCAACCTCTGTCTGTGCTTATAACCTTTAATATGTTTGCTATTGCATGCTAAAAGACTTATATGGTGTCTTGTGCTTAGTTTTGCACTGTTTCTCAGAGCCCCTTTCCAGTTTGGTGTTTAGGTTTGTACCGCTACAAAGTTTTTATTGTGGCAGGCTGGCAGCATATGTTTAAGACTTAACGATGATGTAGTTTGTTCGCTAATACTATCAGTTGCTTTCCATTCTATCCATTAGTTTATAAAAGAATGAAGTATTTTTAGCTTCATTTAACACTGGGTTAAATGCATACAATAGGTACACAAATTCTGTGTGGGCCTGCCACAAAAGCAATTACCTGCATCTTGCTATGATTTAAACCAATGAATTTAGTCTATCAGCATTACTTATCTTTACTTTAGCCTTTTTTGGTCTTTAGCCAGCCGGGGTCAGCTTGCTGTATACGGTGTTGTGGCACATTTGCTCTTAAGGTATTAGCCTTTCCATCTCTTCTTTGCTTTTGGGAAACACCCAAAGGCTCTGTGGTTCAGGGACTGATGCTATCAGATTGGGAGACCTACAACCCAGACTCTGTTGTGTACACTTACCCCTCTCCTCAGGGCTGCCTTGTGTGTGTGTGTGTGTCTTGTGCTGATTCCAGTATGCCTCCACCAGAGACGCTGTGTGGAATTGTATCCAGATTTTTTGTCTGTGAGCCTGTTTGAGGGTAATTTGCCACCCAATCCTATTATGCCGTGACTGATGTAGAATGAATTCATTCAAAATGGTTGGTAAATCTGCCTTGCAGCATTTGTTTCACCCCACGAGTCATTATAAACATTATTTAATTATTATTGAGTGTTAGGTGGGAATTTGCTACTGCGTAGTCCTTAAACCCTGGCATATTATGCTTTTTTTACATTCATTGGCTATGAAAAAGATTGAATAGAAGCTGATGTGTTTAATTTCTTTGCTATAAATGTCTTTCACGAGCTTAGTTCAGCTGAATAGTGAACCTTCTCAAGGAAACATTCAGGAAATGTTTTTAGTTCGTTTTGAGATTAACATTTTTAATACAGACATGGCTATCAAATTGTAAGTCATTTTTTCTCATATCACACATTCACACTGTAAATAAAGTTTAGTAAATAAATACATCTGTAGTTTAAAAATGTTTGTTTTTTAAAATCTTGTGGCAAAATATTTTTAAAGGTGTTCAAAGTGTTTTAAAATATGCATTTTTATTTGATTGTTGACGTAATCTTAATCGAAACACGTATAGTGGGTGGGACATGTAGCCCCTCCCCTTTTAAAAAACAGCCAATAGCATTTTGTTTCATCACCACTCTGCCAGTAAGAGTGGTTTAGCTCATGTGATTAAATAAAAAGCAAATAAGAATAATTTTGAAGGGGGTGGGGCATGTCAAGTTCTAGTAGGGAGCATTTGATTGGTTATGATTTGATGAGAAACTGAAGTTTGAGATGGCGTGAATAAACTGTTGATCCCTTTAGTTGGAAGTGACAAACTACAAGCTTTACATGTTTCTATCAGTTTGATATTTTCTAAATGGGAATTTTGTCACTGTTTTAAAGTACACAAGCTTATAGATATCTTAAAACTAACTACTCTGATACTAACATCTAAAAAACTTTATTTTAATTTCATGGAACCTTTAAAAAATAATGTGGTACTTTAGACATCTTAATGATAAAAATATAATGTATTATTGCATTATGTTGTAATAACATTTGTACTAGAGCTGTGCGATATGGGGGGAAAATAATCTGCCATTTTTTTGGACAAATATTGTGATTTGATTTTGTTGTCAAGATTCAGCTTAATCTGTATCGTAGCTTCTTACTGCTAAAATGCAATGTGTTACTTACAAAAAGAAATGAAAATATATTGACTTACTCCAACATTTATTTAAAGTTGTTTTTAAATATTTAGAAATGTAACAAATTTTTCTCTATAGCACATTAAAATTACCTTACCTTTCTGTAAACAAGTTCAACTCAAATTAGAGAGATCATGTAGCTTATAATACAAACAAAAACCAAAAAATTTTAATTATAAAAATACAGAACACTCAGCAAACTAACATGGCTGATTGGGCAGAATGAAAGTGTGCTCACTCAATTGTCTAGTGAAGACTATCTCACACAGACAGCAGTCACGCATTTGCTCTGGGCGGAGGAAATTAAATAATACATATATATTCCATATCGCTTGCGATTAGCTAATTGCAACTTTTCAAATTGCGATTTGATATTAATTAATTGCACAGCCCTAGTTTGTACTACATCTATAACCATATATCATATCTCGATTAACATTTTGCTGTATGTTTGCACAGTTAAAAGCAACCTTGATGAGGATAAGAGTCCAGAATATTAAATCTTTTGAAAAAGCCCTCAGAAATATTTTCGTTTGTACTGTGCATATAAAAGCAAAGAAAGAATTTGGTATGAACAGGTAACTGAGGTTAGTCTTGTCCTCTAACTACTGATATCCTTCAGTAATGCCTGTAACCATAGTGACACACACCAGCAATAAATATCAAGACTTTGTGCTGTGTTTTTATGGCTTTTTTATTCTAAGCTCTTGTTGGCAGCTCCTGTTGTTTTAAGCCAGAAACTGTGGTTTTCTTCATATTGTATTGTTCTCCTCCTCCTAAACACCTAAAATACTTTCCACTTTTCTTTTTGACTGCACACAACACCATAATAATCTTTGGTTTTGCATAATCTGAAGGAGACTGACAATTGTAATACTGGTGAAAGCACAACAGATTGTGTGTGTTATTCTATACAGGTGTCAATGACGCGACAGACTAGTTGACTGCAGAGCGCATCAACTAAACTCGATGCACTCTAAAAATATGATTGTGGTGACTCAGGTCTCTCTGGCTCAGATTGATAGAACAGGAACATCTGCAAAGGTTTTTTTTTTTGTGTGTATAAAAGAATTCTCTTATGTTCACTAAATTTGCATTTCTTTGACTTATAGCTATATTAAAACTGTAAAATTGGGAAATTACCTTTTAATGTATTATTTCTATAATGGCAATGCGGAGTTTTCCAATATCTGGATTTGCAAACTGAGACTGCATGTCTCAGAGATGCAATGCCAGACACAATGCACTCCAATGGAGCTAGAGACGTCAGTGTGAAGGTTAGGGGTGGGGTGTGGTTAGGCGTGGGCATTAAAAGCATTGCATGCAGCTCACGTTGCAACTGTGCAACTGCACTGTATCTGAAACCAGACCCTCTCGAATCTTCAGCAGGACTTACTCATCAATTCCTTAGAATCCTTCTAATGTGATGCTCAAGAAACATTACTTATAAAACGATTAACCCTTTGCAAACCCCTTCCCCACTTTTTTTTTTTTTTTGTCCGACAAGCATTCAGTATCAGCCAGAGCACTCTCATTACAATTTGCGCACTCCACAGGAAAATAAAAATGAATAATTTCTGGAAAACAATACAAGTTGAAGCATGCATATAGGTCTGCAATATGCATACAAGATATATATTAAGGATGTGAGAGTAACTCTGGGGGGGGGAAAGGCCAATTTAGGTCTAATTTATTAATGGGAAGTTTTGATCATTTGAATATAATTATAATGTTCATTCCCTAACATAATTAGCAAACAGACACAAATGACGGCATCTTAAACAACAACTATAATGCAACTATGAACTATGAGATTATAAGATACAGTAAAGATTAATTTATAGATTATCTGGGCCTCCAGGCAATACAGTTTTAGCTCACCTCACCTCATGTCGTTCTTCAAGTTCCTGTTTTATTTTTTATTTTTTTGCCACGTCAAAAGTAGGCATGGAACAATAACCATTTTCAAGGTATACCTGGTTTGGAAAAGTCAAGGTTTTAAAACCGTCAAAAAAAAAATTTCTGCTATACCATTCTTATGGTATATGGATCCCCAGCAGAAAACACTTTCAAACATGGCAAAGAAATCAGTGTTTTTGAAACTAATGAAGACAGCAAGTCAATGTTTTACTTCAATAATTTAGTTTAATTAGCTTACTGGTCCAAAATATTTTAAATGTTTTTTAAAATAAAATATTTTGTGTTTTTTTTTTTTTTTTTACCAAGACATTTATAAAGAATATATTTTGGAGCAGTAATCACAAAACCGTCAAA